CAGCCGTAACTAACACCACCGAGAATCCGGGCCTTCGGCCCCAAGTCCATCTGACGGAGTCAGTAATCACCTGGCCCCACTTTAGCTTCCCCATGGATAAAATGCTACGCAGTAACCTTTAAATTCTAGATTGTTATGAAAAGTCCACAAACCATGAAGATGAGGAAAGAATGAAAAACAAGGTCTTATAAAAAAAAAATCTTTAAACACGGTAAAAAACAGCACCACTGCCCCAATTATATGAGTGCTTTATGGCTCCTATTAAAACCTGGAGAAAACTTCCGCCATGTGACAACTGCAGCACTGAAAAGCTGGATTACAAAAAGCACTAAGATTTCTGTTAGGAATAGGCTGCTCCGTGGGGTACATTTTAGGCAAATCCGAGTTAGAAACATATAAATAAAGCGTCACTCTTCTCAATTACAATAAACTTCCCAAATTCAGAATCTGTCTAAATAGCAAGTCTGCAAGAGGAATTGGTCAAATGACTTATAATCTGTGCTTAAAACACTGCTAAGGTAAAGTCCCAGCCATCCTTGCTCGGAACAGCTGTCCACAATGGCAGCTGGGAGTGAGTCTGGTGACAGCGGCACAACTACACTTACACTCACTGCTGCAATGAGTTAAAGTTACAAAACACCGTCCAAGCTCTCATCACACGATGCTAACAGTGCTAGGATCGCACCTGACAGGCGGTTGCTTTAGAAGGAAGTCAACTGGGGAAGATGCCAAACAAAAAAGATCTTGAGGGTTTGTTTGGGTGCCCTCTGAGGGAAATGAAACAGGGACAATGCTGAGAAAACGAGGCACAATTAAAGCACAAAGATTTGCGACAGGGTCATGGGAGTGTGTACTCTGAAAATTAACTCTTCACTTTTTAAATGCAACCCTATTCGATAATGTTGATTGGATGATGAAAGACCATCCAGGCAGATCAATCTTCCTCAAGGGATTTAACACAGCATTCACCAAGGTCAGGACCAAAACACTACAACCTTCATGCAGTTCTGATGACCGCCTCCATCAGAGTGGGCGACTACAGACACTGGAAGACAGCGCCCAGGGAGGCTCTGATGGTTTGGCAAAGGACAAGCTGAGGTGAGATGAACGAGCCAAACAACCTCAGGGTAAATACTGATAATAAAGGCTGCAAGCTATCCAACTGGGAAATACCCACACAGGTCTGTAGTCTCTCTGAAGTATAAGAGCTTATTAACATAAACTTTAAGAGACATTAATATACATAAGGCATTTGTTAAGAAACTGGTAGAACCTAATGTTCAAATGTTAGCAACATTCAAATGTGTGTGTATAATTAAAATGTTATCTGCTTTCAATATCCATGCCATATTATTGACCAAAAGTCAATCACAAATTGAGAATATGTCCTTTGCATTCAGAGCATCTTTTCTTTTTCTTTTTCTTGAGGTACTAAGGTTTAGACCCAGGTCCTCAGTGCACGCTAAGCAAGAACACTACCACTAAGCTAGATTCGCAGCCCTTTCTGAATTTTGAGAAAGGGTCTTGATAAATAGCCCAGGCTGGCCTCAAATTCATGATTCTTCTGCCTCAGCCTCCAGAGTTACTGGGGTTAAAGGTATGTGCTTCCTCACCTGGCTCAGTGCATTTTAAGAAATAAAACATGCTTCGGTGATTATTAACATTCTCTAGGCTTAAACAGGAGCCTATTTTAGAAATTTTTTTTAAAAGTTTTAAGCATTTAAGAAATTCTTTGCAATCCGAAGTTGCCCTCTTTCTTACTGGCTTTCCAGGAGATATATGGGTTAGGGTGTCTGTGTTAGGTCACATGCCCCCCACACACAAATACACACACACACACACACACACACACACACACTCTGGTGTGGAGTGTGGCTTCCGCGTCTGTCAGGAAGCAAGTCCAGGAAGAGAGCCTGCAGTCCCTGGGCCTCCAGCTGCACTCTCATCCCAAAGGCACTCTTTCCCATTTCTTACGCGATGCCTCTATGTAGGGTTCCCCTTTCTTTCTCTGAGGAGAGAGGAACAAGGTAGCTGACATTTACTGAGCAGTGTCTTAGCTACTTTCTCAATGCTGGGACAAAATACCTGACACCCACAAGTTAAAGGAGGACAGGTTTATTTGGCTCACGGTTTGTATACATTTCAGTCCATAGCTGGCTGCTCCAAGGCAGGGCAGTCTAGCAAAGAGGCATGGCAGAGAAGGAGTCCACAGCAGAGCAGGCAGGAGGCCACAAGACCTGTTTCTTCTTTCCCTTTTTATTCTATGCATACTACAGCCTGGTGCATACCGCCACCCACACGCAGAGTGGGTTTTCCCTCTTCAGTAAATCCATCATCCATACTGGGAAAGAATTATGCTAAACCAATCAGTAGGTTAATTCAGTATCACACACCCCAGATCCAGCCACCACCCAAAAGCACTACCCATGAGCACATGAGCTTTGGGGAGACATCTAGACACAAGCCGTAACATGCAGAAAATGCTGCAGTTCCTCAGCACTGGGTATTGGGGCTTTCTTTTCCTTCTAAACTCACAGCCTACACAAGCAGAATGAAGGGCAGTTAGACACAGAACTCACAGTTATACTGCCTGGGTTCAAAGCCTGGCCCTGACCCACAGGAAAGGGGACTTCAGGAAAGTACCTAAGCACCTGTGTGCCTCAGAGCACAGCCTGGGAAAGTAAGGACAACAACCCAATGCCATGGTGATGCCTGAGCTTACAGAGTCACCGAGGCACTAAGAACAAGCCTGAGTACAGCAAGCCCCTCTCAGGGTGACATTCAGCTGCTCTGGGAGCCGGAATTCAATCCCACAGAGCCTGAAGACCAACCATTTGCTGAAGACCCCCTACTTTAGGTCTCCACCAGACTTTTTCTCTTAAATTCCACCACCTAACACTTCTACTTTACATCTCACAAATGTCTCAAAATATACATCCAAAATAAAATTCTTGCTCTTTTCCTTCAGACCTGTCCCCACATCCACACTCGTCCTCAGTGTACACATTACTTCCCCAATTAGAGCCGCCAAAAACCTAGAAATTACCTGTAACTCCTCCCTTCCCTGTCAGCGGACCAAGTCACCTAAGTCTACCCTTCCACCTTCGAGCCCCCTTCCATCCACTCCCACGCCACCCACCTGTCCATCCAGGCCAAGCCCTCTCTCACTGGCCTCAACCCCTTTCCCAAAGACAGGTTCTCAAAGCCAAATGGAATCACGGTACTTCCACTCAACCATCCTAGGGCTTCTGGTTGCACGAAATCCCCGGCTCCTTTGCAAGGCTGGTGCACACTCAACTACCCTCTCTTTTCTCAACCCATTCAGGCTGGTCCTTCCTTGGGGTGCATGGTTTGCTACGCCCTGCACACTCTTCCCCTCACCTACTGCATGGCACCTATCTGTGCTCCCAAGGGTCTCAGCTTTAAGACCACTCTCCCAGAGGCCTTTCCTGGTTTTCCTCGAAGTGAGTATTTCCTGACTGTGGGGTTGTTTCCCTGACTCAGCTGATTCTTTTCTCCAATTCATTTATTACGATACATACACACCCACCCACGCACATTTAGAATGCAATGCATTGAGGTAAGGGCTACAGAGTCTTGTTTATTTTTCCCCCCAAATTAACATATGGGTTAGAATAAGCATTCCATAACTGGTAAATACAAATAAACTTACTGTGCTACTTTAGTATCATCTCATTTTTACCCCGCAGACCCACTCAGGGTACTGGGCATTGAACCCAGGACCTTCACACTGAGCTACATGCCCAGCTTTTATTTTTTGTTTTGAAACAGGGTGTCCCTAAATTCAGGCTGAGTTTGAACTTGCAATCTCCTTGCCTCTGCCTACCTAAGCGCTGGGATTACACGTGTGAGACACATGCCTGGCTCCATTTATTCTCTACCATAACCAGATGAGGCATGTGTTACTCCCATCTCAAAGATGGGGTTACTAAGGACAGGAAATACTGAGCTAGACCCAGAAGCAGGACTCAAACGCAGGGCAGCACTGAAATGGCTATTCTGCCGCCAGCCAGCAGCCCCACTCCCCCACACGTGGATGAAACCCTTGGCCTCCGTACAGGTTCTGGCTGTCACCACAGGGCAGGTGCTGCTGCTGGCACAGCACAGCCCCGCCCCGAAACAGTGACCCATCCCACCCCGGACGCGCCCTGCTGACGGGCACAGCCATGCCGACAGAACCAAGAGAGCGTTGGGGGTGTGCAGGAATAGGTAGGTGACAGGGAGAAGGGGGAAACTGCTTTGTCCCGGGCTGCCTTTTCAGTCCCCACACATGTCTCTGCCCGCGTGTTTCATGTGTATCACTTCTGCCCTGAGACACATAGTCCTCCCCAGGGGCCCTCCCAACTTCCCCCATCTGATAAGGAACTTGGTAAAGAAACATGTAGTCATGTTAGGTGATAAACGACAACTCAACAGTTGTTTTCAGGGAAAAGCTACAGCCAGAGGAAGGACGGTGGATTTACACTGCCCTGTAGATCACTGCAGGCAGAACGCTGGCTCAAGGAGGCCAGAGGCTTCTACAGACAGGCAGGATGTTCTCTCCGCCACATGCCCACCTGAAACTCAGCTTAAGCAGTACAATCAGCTCTCAGGATGGTCCTAAGGCTCCCCAGTGACCCGTCCACAGCTAAACCTGAGCACCACGTCCAGCCCAGGGCTCTCCTCGGCCTGGAGACTAGGCCTGGACAAAGCTAAATGCTTTGGGCAGGTGACTAGGTTGAAACAGCCAGACTCGGGAAAAACAAGGTCTTGAAGGCTGCTGTTTTCAAGCTGTGAGGCACTATACTGGACGGTGAGGTCAACTTCATGGTTTATAAACAGCGTTAAAAAAAAAAAGAATACAGTATACTACACAAGCTCGGGAACTTCTGCTTTAAATAGCTGCATATCCATGCAGCTTAGTCTCCTTTCTCCCCCTCTGCCCGCTGCAAGCCCCAGGAGGCAGACTCCAAGAGGTATCAGTGTGGGGTGGCCCTGACCCCACAGCCCAGCTCCTGCAGGTCTTCCCTGGGCGCCTGCATCTCCCGGTGGACTCCTTAGGGCTACTCCTACTTCTGCAGAGTCCACTAGTGAAATCCGCTCCTCTCCAGACACCGGCATGCCGTGGGTCCAGAGGCCCCAGGACACTCGGACACCTGTACACAGACTTCAGCGGCCTGTGTTTTCCAGGTATGGGCAGGTTTAATGCACTGTTTACCGTGGGCTGTGGTCAGAAGGCATGACAAACACTCTCGAGGTTCTTTCTACACCTCTGCCTCCTTCTGGACGATGAACAGAAAGCAAACAGGTTGCAACTTCCAAAAATAAACATTCCAAGAACCCATTTATACAACTGTTAGCATAAAATAGGTAAGAAAAGCAGACACGATGATGAAGCAGATTTCCTAACAATGTTTCCTTCTGTCCAACAAAGGAAAGGATCACTTCAGTGACTCCTCAGTGTCCAGGACGTATGGAGAAGAGCCCACCATAAAGTTTCTTCCTGAACAGAAACGAAGCCATTTTTGGTCAGAGCCTAATATTTACTGGTTGTCCTTGATCAGCCACAGGCTAACTCCAGAACAGAGGCACACAACTGGCTCCGGACACGGAAGGCCAGAGCTACTGAAGAGGTCCAAACTCGGGCCTCTCACCTCATTCTGGGAGATGAAAGCAAAGAGGAAATGAGGCAGCTTTCGAAAATACTGAAACTGTCCTCTCCTCTCCCCAGGACCCGGGTGGCTTTCTGATGCTTTGGCAGAGCATGAGGGCTGGCGAGGGTCACCTAGGAGAAGGAGCCAAACTCTCAGCTCTGATCATTGGCAGAACCGCCTCGCCCCGGAACACGGGCAGACAGAAGGACAGACCCGCGGGTGTTCATCCAGGCTCCAGACCTAGGATGACTGCTGCCCGGTGCACACCCGGGACGCGCTCTACATTCACCACCTTCTGACGCCCAGGTCAAGCCAAGCAGAGTGCTACACCACTATATGGGCCCGTATCTGGGAACCATAGGCATTCCTGAATCCAAACAAACCGTGCAATACAAGAAGATTCAAAAGAAACGCAAGTATAAGAAGAGGGGGAAAATGCAAAAACAAGCTACAAATGGAAATTCTATCATTCTTCCAAGATGTGCTATTGTCCCTCCCTGAAAGAGAAATTCTATAGTTTACTGCGAAGTGGTTACCGTTTCTGCTAGCCACTCAAAACAAGCCTTTACTCTTATCACGAACTCTCAAACCAGTCATACGCGCTTACTTCATACCTTAAAACCGAAGCGTGCAGACAAAGGCACTCCCCCGCGTGCACAGGACCCCTTGAGTCCTTGAGTCCCGCTCCCCAGCACAAGCCCAGCTGAGCGGCAGGGCAGGCACACTCCAACTCGCGAGGGATGAGGGTGAGCAGCCAGAGGGCTCCTCCCTCTTCCCCAGGCACGCTGCCTCCCCAGGGTGAACCCCATCCGCACACTGGCCACAACAGTCCCCAGCCCTGAGCCCCTCACATCAGGCCGCCTTCCAACAGCCAACGCTCCCGAGGTGGCCCGGCGTGCCGAGCTTGGGCCTATCCTGGACGCCGGCGGGGCTGCGGGAACTTCGGGTCACGAGGGAGCCAGAGAAGCCCGCAGTCACACAACTCAGAGGCCAAAGCCCAGCGCCGCATCGCGCGGCAGAGGCAACCCCGGCGTTTCGGGGGCGCCCCAGGGGCCAGG